TTTCCTGGTCAGTCTCAATATATATATATATATATATTTATTTATTCAATGATCCTTTGGCATTTTTAATCTGGAGAAAACATAAAAGGTTATTTAAAATAAGCGATTTACAGTCTATGCATCTCATTTTGACGGCATCAATGAAAATCTGGCTTATGTGTTTTTGTCAATTATAACGAAACATTTTTTTACATTGATGAAAATTATCACATGTATATATCATTTGTTTTCCATTCATCATTTTGTGTCATGAAACAGTAATAATATTTCATACATTGCTAGAGGCACCTTACGGCAGACTCGAGAAATAGAACATTACAAGCAGTTTTATAATTTAAAGAATATTCTACTATCAAAACAGTTGTGTATATTAACTCTGATGAAGCCGCAAAAGCATAACGTTGGTTGAAATAAAAATATATTATTTTATATTTATCTGGAGTGTAAAAGTCGTCTATATATACTTTCTTTAAATTACTCCATAAAGTTTAATTTAAATGTTTAATTTCAATGAGAATTAACCTCATTTTTAAGAATGATTTGTTCAAGCTAATACATATATTTGGAACCTGTGTATTTGGTTTTCTGTGATTTCCTGACCGACTTAGAATGCATTGACACCATACGTAGGAAATGTACGTCGAGGAAAAATGTTCGTGTAATGAAATTGTGAAACGATGAAGTGATTACTTACACGACATCCGTATGTTCAGATACTTCCGTGATTATGCACAAAGATGCAACCAAACATCTAAAACGGTGTAAATGTCGTTACGTAAATTTCAGGTTCAAACATAAAGATGATGTCCATACGATAGGCCTAACCAAAGATAAGATTAAAAACTCAATCCAAAGACAATTTATTATTATTTATTTATTCACTATATTATTCTTGTGTTTAAAATTATACTGTCAAAACGATCCTTTATCTAAGCTTGAAATAAAATACAAATGCGAAAATTCATTAGGAAAAGAAGACAAAGAAAATAGCAAATGTATTAGCAAAAAATATGTATAATATTCTAATTTCTCATAACTCTAAAAAATAATTATAAAGAAAAGATGCTTGAGTCGGAAAAACTCACACAAAGTAACAGTAACTGGCTCCGAAATTACCTCTTGCTAATCAGAAACAAATCTCTCACACCTGCCAAATGAAAAAATAATATTATTGCAAACAAAAGACCAATGCAATAAAATTAGATTTCTAACAAGATAACAAACAAGAGCTTGAAGTTAACGAAAGTTTACAAGTAAAACGAATAACAAGTTTACAGCCTCACGCTGTTTTTTTTTTTTTTTGTTACTTTTTACGAAAAACATACCCGAATAAACCGGATTTACGGCAATTCCATAAAACTACAAACCTTTCAATTCTCCCTTGATGTAGTTCCAATGGACTTTAATGGAGTTGTTTGCTTTAATATGTTTCTTGAAGTAGAGGACCATGTCCAGTGGAGAGTCTGGAGCATGTTTATAGAAATGTATTGTCTGAACGTCGTCGTCCATTCCCGAAATTTGTTTTAAGAGAAATTGTGATGTAAGGCAATATTGCGCAACAATGTTCACTACGACTGATGACGGTCACAGAAGTTCCAAGACGAGCATGGTACCTGGAACACCTGCTTACAAAGGGTTATTAACTCTCAGTATAAGATGGTCGGTTTGTAATTGAGTAACATGACCTGGACCACTTACAGTTTAGTGTCTTGCACGGGATCAGTCTCGTTTATACACCGTTTGAAAATATGGCCTAGATTACATACAGTTTGAACATGTGGTCTAGTTTATAAAAATTTCGGTTATATCATTTGGACTATACATAGTTTGTTTGTATGGTTTGCTAAGCATATAGTTTGGGTATATGTTACAAATAACTTTCCTGTTGTTTGTTTTGTTGTTAAGCACAAAAACTACTCAATATGGTATCAGTGCTCTGACCATCGCGGGTATCGAAACCCAATTTGGAGTGGTATAAGCACTCAGATTTACCGCTGTGCCACCGGAGGGCTAATGTTAGAATACAGACTGAGTTATAGGTTTTTGAGTATTGAACGAGTATTTCGTAATTTCCCGGTGACTCAGTGGTAAGTATGAGGATATATAATGCTTACAATCGAGTCTCGATACTAGCGATTGGCACAGCACAGATAGCTCATTATGTATATTTGTGCTTAATAAAACAAAACCCAAGAAAAAACCCTTAATGCAAAGTTTAATTAAGAGAAAATTGTATTGTTATCTATTATCTGTCATTAAGTAAATGCTTAACAAATGATGAATTTAGACTGGGTTTGTTTATTTGATATTCGCAGATGGGTCCTTATTTGAAGCTAGTCAACAACACCCACTAACAATTCTTGGAATCGTGATGTCTCATCGAATAGTGGGATTTCACTGTCACTCTTATAACTCACCAAATGTAAGGAGCACGATTTTTATTTTTTGCGACAACTGAACGTAAACGAAGGACACGCAGATTCTATGCTAACAGCCGCGTCACGATTAACTCTTTCACTTATTCCTAACGGAAATTAAATACAGAATTCACATAACAAAATAATTTGAAACAAGTAGTTCCACAGTGTCAAACAAAGGATAATTCGGAACCTTCAGTTTGTATTAACAGTATGTCCTCCAGTGTGAATAAGTCTTAGTATCACATACAGTGGCCACTCTGTAGTGCTTCACAGGATGACCACTCTATGGATGGTTCACTGGCTGTCCACCCCGTGATATATCCACATAGTGGCCATACTATGAACCATTCACAGTGTAGCAATACTAACTAGTGCACTGTATACCTAGTTTAATTTTTCATTAAATGACACGCCACAAATTTATCTTAAGTAATATATATATTTTTTCTTACACAGCTATATTACATCGAAAATCAAGCGGTCATACAAAACTACATAGACAGATTTTCAGTTTCTAATTGAAACTGTGCTTGTGAATATACTCTAGAATATAACTCAGTCTTGAAATATTTAATAGCAGTAAATAAGACAAACTTTATAACCAAATGAATATTAACAGATGGTGTTGTGAATATACAATAGAAAAGTGTTCACAGAGTTCTGCAGCCCAGAGAAAGATGGAGCAGATCTGGAACTAGGTGGGAAAATGTTTCTATTATGTTACATACTTAATGTACATGCCTTAGAATAAAAAACATCAATACATCAGCTTAGGTCGCTCAAAAATAATTCTACATTTTATAGATAATAAAAGCAAGGAAGAAGAATCTACTATCTTGGTTCTGTCTTGGTGGCAGTATATTCCTAGAGTTCATAAAATTTCAGTACTAAAATAATAATTATGACGAAATATTAATCTAATCTGCTCCTTATGTAAATTTAAAATTATATTGTTTTACATGTAAAAGTGCTATTTATGAAAAACGTATAAATATACCTATGAACAGTCTATTAAGCCTTTTCTTGATCAGTCTTTTCCCAATATCAAATTTGAAAAGGAAGAATATTTAGGACAAAAAAAAAGAAAATGTAGAATTTGAGGTTAACAAAATTTCACCTTTTTCTCCTTCACTTTATATTGTTTCATATATATATCTATAAAATTACCGAGAATTATCTAGAAAATATACTCAGAGTCAGAAAGCATATGCAGTGATGAGTGAATGTCTAATTACAAGTGAGGCATTTGTATACTGTTGAATATTGCTAAAATAGCCGTTGAATAAGCTGTTACTGTGAGTACCGTCGCACAGAATATTATTATTAATAACAATACATTTGGTAATGTATAAAACAGCTGAGTTACTTACCACTAACAAAAATTATTTTTGCTGGATATCACCTCCGCTCACCTTTTGGTGCTGTTATACCATGGACGCTTTGCTTCACCGTACTAATTTTATTTGGATTGTCCAATGTCAATTTACGAGGAATCATTTTTTTGGTTAACACGCTCACTTCTTGAGTCTCCATCCATTAGACGAGCAAAAGCACCATTTTCACTCTCGTATAAAACTTAATAACATAGAATATTAAAGTAAATCAAATTCCAACTTTGAACTCTAACACACTGTTTGAAGCTTGTTTTGAAAGTGTTGCATCTTAATAAAACTGGTTTGAAAAGAGGCTTTTGACAAAATATTATATTTGTTTTCTTGGAGAAAAATCATAATATCACTGAAGAAATAAATAAATTATTAAATTGGAAATCAGTGAAACGCCATGTTTTTTTCTTATTTATCAAAATCTTGAGAATACTACGCCATTTTCTGATTTGTAATTTAAGAAAGTCTCAAGATACTTCAGTACAACATACAATGAAATTAACTTGAAATATTAGAACGAAACAATATAATAACAATGTATTTAACCTATAAAGAAGATACTATGGAAACATCCTCTTCAAAACGTTAGGTTGAGTGCTACGCAGTTCGAACTATGTGAAAAGTCAATTTATACTGTATACTTATAAAGAAAGACAAATTACAGTGTGAATACACTCCGTGTTCCTCTTTTGCAATACAGCATTGTCATCGTGACTTTACAAGTAACACACTATTTTCCTGGTGTTTCACTGTGTGTTTTCTATGTACTTCTTCATAAGGTGTCAAGTGCCAAAGAATTCTGTATTGAGGTCAAATTTCAGGACGTTAGAGTTTTTCTATGATCTTCTAGTAATGTTAGTTTGTTGATATATTGAGAACTGCAACTGAATAGATTCGAAGCTGCTTAACGATCAGATGCTTTTAGATCTCAATATGTTGATTAATTTGTAAAACCAGAATTTGGCAGGAATATTGAGCTATGTCAGTAGGCTTGTAACACTGAGAATCTAACTATTGAAATATTATAAGGGCAGGATTTGTTTTTGGTTGTTTGCGGAATTTCACGCGAAGTTATACATTAGAGAAAAGTTAGCTAGTCAAAACCAACCACTGCCGACAGTTTGGGCTGTTCTTGTCAGACCGAATAGGAGAATTCGATCTCAGGCTTATAACGCGATTTTTTTGGGTGGTGGGGGCGATATCTACAGTATTTCAGATCCACAGTCCGGTACGCTAACCACCAGTCCTCGCTCGGCCAAAATAGGGTAGGAAACCGTTATGTAATGTTAGAATACTTCTTGAAAGAAATAAAACTAAGACTAATAGGTAAGTGAACACGGAACACTGCTCGCTATCCCTGAGTTACCGCGAATGAAACGGTTGTTTGTTTGTTAAACGAAAGGTACACAATGTGCTCTGCCACAACGGTATCGAAACGCAGTTTTTAGTGTTATAAGCCAACAGAGCCAGTCACTTTGTAATAAGAATCACAGCTTTTATTATCATTTTTCACAATTTAAAGTGTTTTAAGAATCCAAATAAGTTTTGTAAAATAAATTACAAAAAATATGTCAATAAACATCTTTATCACTGTTGTTGAACCTTTTGTAGACCACTGACTTGAAATAATAGTGGTGTTGACGAGGAAACTACAAACTGCAGAAGAAAACAAATAAGGTAAACTCGACGCCAAATTAAATTTAGTTTATTGACGAATATAAAAACAACGTTCCGCTAAATAGTCCTTTACCGGGTTGCTCAAAGCGTTGTGTTCATATTCGTAAGTAGGCTTATTGTAATTTGGCGAGAGTTCCCATTGTTTGTTTCCTTCTACAAATGAACTTCATATAACCATATTATTAGTTTTGTAACTTTAAAATAAAATTTTGAAACATTTGAGATTGTATTATATGCGCTGTGAGTCGGTCATTACACAATATAATCTTATCTTAATTGCACAGGAAATATTTTATTACAATTTCCCAATTTTAATAACATCGAATGTTTTTTTCGGGAATCAAGAATAACAGAAACTGTCAAATATTATAAAAGTTTCCTGAAGAATGTGAGGATTATAACTGATATAATAATCTCAGTAAAAGCAATTTCTTACACTCTATCAAAAATCATTTAGAAATTTTCAATACTATTTAAGTATTAAGGTAGCCGTAGTTTAATTCATTATGCTAAATTCAAACGCTTTCTCTACGAGTTAGTTCTAAACACTTAATCATTTACAAAATATTACTGGAAATTTAGACATATGAATAATTTAATTTACTGATTAGACAAAAGTAAAGACGAAAGTTAGTTCTATATACTTCATGCGTATTTGTTTTAAAATATCCCTCGTAATTGATGTTGGTGTTGAAACATGTTCAATAAAATAATGAACTTCACCAATGAATTCGGAATATTAATATACTTTTACTATTTTATAGATCTAATGTTATATAACCGACAAAGAGTTGAATTGCAACCAATACAGTCAACTTTTTAAATTCTTAATTCAACCAGATACGTTATCATTTTTGTTCAGGCAAAACATAACTTATCTGTTATAAAAATAAGTACTTCTATTTGACCTCATTTAAACAACTGTAAAATATAAAACCTGTTATGTTTTCTTTCAAACTAACAAAAAATAGCCTACACCTTAAACTTAGTATTAGGTCAAAGGATGTAATAGGTCTGCCAAAATATTTGTAAGTATAGCCGATTCTGGTAAAGCTGTATTCAAAATTCAGTAATCATTAACACAAAAGACATTTATTAACATTAGTAAATTATTTTAATTGTATATTTCTAATAAGAAAATTAATAACACAAAAATATATATATATAATATTATTACTTTTAATATAACATAATTGTTAACTATGACCACTAGATGACGCTAAAAAGATGGAACAAGAAAGACAAACGGATAATGCCGAACTTTCGCCTGGCTGTGATTAGTCAATCCAAATATGAAGTAAATATGACAGTTTTACCTCACAATTATATTGATTCATTTTTCTTGGTTCGTTTTTCTGATGTTATAACGAACAAGTTTACTTATGAAGCTTATCCATTGGTTTACAAACAATAAATTTTTGTATATGCTATAAAAAGGGAAACTTTTAAACTGATGATGTTTATGAAAACTTATTCCCAGAACATTATTAGGAAAACTTACTGGAATTTGATGTGATCGGTTAAAATCTAAAGCAAGATTGTGAGTCATCTAATCTGAATAATCTTCATTCATCTGCATACAGCTTTATGCAGTTTAGCATCTCTAATTGCTATGTACATTGTGGGAGCAGCAACAGCGTAATAATCAAAGTTTTCAAAGAACTTTGGCCTCAAAGATATTAATGGTATTAATAACATAATATATATATATGTGTGTGTATGGTGTTATGAAATGTCTTTTACTCATACAGGGATCGTATACGTATAATATACACTCCACTGTTATACAAAGCCTCGTCGTAATTCTTTCGATTTGCCTTTGTCCAGGGTTACTGATCAGAAGGAGGGGTTTCTCGAAACCGGTAAAACTCAGTGACAAGTGGTAAATCGAATGATAGATTAGGCTTCATATTCACTTTTTAGTATAATATATATATGTATGTATATTTAACACAAATTAAGAAATAATTAATGATTAACAACTGGGTGTTCATATACACCATCAGGCATCAACTTTCGTGCCAACTATACAGTGCGATCATCCCAAACTTTACGTTCATACCTAAAAGTAAACGTCCATTAATTACTTCTAAGAAATGTTTCTATCATTGTCCTCCATTCGGATTAACAAATCAGAACTAAGCGCAAAATCTGTAATTAGCTGCTTGTATGAGCTACTTTACAATTATTTCAAAAAGTTTCAAAAACACGTTTATCTGTCGTCCACTAGAATAACTAATTTAAGTTTTTCCATTCTGTAAAACTAATATATCACCAAACACTATTAGGTTTTATTACTATGTTTTAACAAGCTTTTTAGGCATTCTAAGTTAGCTGCAAACGAAAGCAAAAATATTTCTTTTTTTATAGGACACACATTTGTTTGAAAGTAATAAAAAAGCCTACAGTAATATTTCTTTATTTTGGTAAAAAATATTGCTGTACTACAGAGTGTTGAGGATGTTGTATTAAAGCAATTTGTAATATGGAATCAGTAAGTCACGTGGCAACCACAGCTGTCGCGGTGGAACTGATTACATCAGAACTACATTTTTACATGGTTTAGCATTCGTAAGTGTTGTGTTGCCATTGAAAACTGATTGCTTTCCGAAGCAATATATTCATAAATACAGATAATGAAGATGTATTCGGATCAGAGACTTAGTATTTCCAAAACTGGAATAACCCTTGTACTTAACGGTTTTGAAAAACAAATGAATATGAAATAACTTGGACCAGGACCATTCAAAAATAGATATGAAACTGTAGTTTCTAAGGTGTGGTAGGGAAAGTGTGGCGTCTTGTAATAATACGTAGGTGAAAATGTACGAAAACTATGACATACCAGTCAAATCGGCCGAATTTCTGTACGACCGGACTGTTGAGACTGGCAATGGGAAATCGTCATCTTTGTACAGTAAATGGGTTATGGAAAGCAAACCGGGAAGAGTGATATGCTTTGGATATGACATCTTTACGACGGAGCCTTTTGCAATAGAAACTGCACTGCAGGACTATTGTCTAGATGCATGACCATCAGATAGAGTGACTTAGGCTATAACGACGTGGTGAGGCTCTAAAATCGTTTCAATGTAACGTATTCAACCTCTATTAGAACGGCAATAGAAAATCGTATGCAATATAATGATTTTTTATTTGGTATGGAAACGTAAAAGCCGTTCAGTAGATGATATTTTATATTTTTCAGTCACTGAACAATATGCAGCATAAATTGCACAGTTTAATACTACTGAAAGCATCATCATACATAACAAATATTTATGAGCTGTTAACCTTACGTTTAAATTTTTGTCTAAACTGTCATATCATATATAAATGACAATTAAGTACTCAGGTAGAAAGGGGGAAAGAGCCGTTTCGGCAGGTTCATAGCTTATATCAACTTTATAAAAACAATTTTTATGTAAAACACTCTTTTCTTGGAGGTTATTCAACAACTATTGTAATCTTAGTTTTAAGTTCCAACTAACTTCTACACTAACAAACAAGATGTGAAGATTGTTATCACAATTAAATAGTTTTTCTTAAATATAGCCTTCAAAGCTGAGTTACTTATGTTTTTTTTCTAACAATATGTATAGTTTCCTACATACAAATCTTAAGTCCATTGCTGCTCAATACTAAACAATAAAGTATTATACTTATACGGTTTATAACTCGACAGCATTTTAGATATATAACTACAACTTGTTAAAATGTGAATTCTCTAAGCTACTTTTGTTTCCTTATTATTATAGACAAACTGGTGTATAGAAATATGGACTATCTAAGCTACCTGTGGTTTCTTATTATTTTAGATGGACTGGTGTACTGAAGTTTTACGTCACTGGTTTCTTCTTCTAAAAACATTTCTCGTCTATTTCGTATCCTTTTGGTTCGTCGTCTCCACATACAAACACCAAATAAAACTGCAATAGCCACTATTACCGTAGCTGATACAACAGCCCAGACGATAACACTTTTGTTGACAGATGTTGAAACTTCTTTCCCTGCTGTCTGAAACTCGCCTTCATCGTATTCCAGCTGTTGCTCCTTCTCAGAATGCGATACGGTTGTTAACATTAGTGTGATTGTGTTGTGGTCGAAAGAGGAAGTTGTTTCCTCTAAATCTTTTTCCTCGCGTTCTTCATCTACGTGACGCCAAGTTTCTATGCTACTGCTGGTTGAGGGGAATTCTGAGATATGATAATCGCCAGTACCCTCTTCTTCTGTGTTGGAATACTCTTCACTAAGTGTTGATGGTATATATGTCTGTGGTTGGAAGGGAGGTCTCCACTGTGTACCTGGCCGTGATGAAAAATGATCCCTTCTTCCTCCAGAAGCTTCGAATGGTTCTCGAGAAAAGGGTTTTCTTCCATTTGATTGTCCTTCTAAAGGATAAGGAGGCCAGGCTTCTCTGTGCCTGTTAGGATAGCCCTCTAAAGGTTGTAATCCACTTCTTAAAGAATGTTTCTCCATTGTTTCAGATACAAGAGGAAATCCCTTCACAGGGAATTTCTTATTTGATTGTCCACCAAAACTAATGTCATGGTTTATTGGGCGAGTATGATTGTAGTTAAATGTAGGTTCTAATGGGAACGATGTATAACTGCGATTAGTTTTAGGGATTGTGGGAAAACGTACTTTTTCCATCTTAGACGAATCATACTTTTTGGGATTGTTTTCTTCTATAAAAGATGTAGAGGTTTTGGATTTATTTATTTTACCAGGTTCTTCAGTGTAGTGAGTAGAAACTGTTTGTGTAAGAGTTTCACTATTTATACCAAAAGAAACTGTTCTACTAGTCGTTGCTGATATGCCTTCCTTTAGATCAAGAAAAGGATTTAAACCAGTTCGAGGATTTGTAAAGTCACTTATATGAGTCTTCTTTCCTGCTGTCCCGTTAGTTGGTGGTGTTACTTCCGTTGTATTTAAGAAATTTCTTTCTTGAGTTTTTCTATCCTCACTGCGAACTTTTGTGGACCTTTCAGCACGGTATTTCTCTAAGTTGGAACAGTGTGGTTGTAAGCAGTTCTCGAGTGACGCGACAGACACTACTAACACGAGTACCCAACAAATCAATGGAGACATAATGATTGGTGAAGTCTGTTTAGCTCAGCCGTAGCGAAGAATTGATCTGAAAACGGAAAACAAACAAACTAAAAACTATGATATTGGCTCGACTTTTCTTTTACAGAGTAACGTTTTTGCTTTTATATAATACCTGCTTGTCCTTTTTTTTACCTCAACGACAGAAAGTATTTGATTTAAAAGAACAATTACAATATTAAAGTTGACTTATTAAATAAGATTATGAGCTGAAAAACCTACACCTACATCGTTTTCCTATATTTCACAATAGTTTAGCAAATAAAGACAATTGGTTTTGCGAGTAAAAATACTAAACTATAACTAAATTTTAAAATAAAATGTACTGGCTATAAAGTCTTATAAAACTACGCATTTTCAAATCCATTTTTGCATAACTTAAAAGAGCATATTTCTATTGGTAGTACGTATATATAAGGATAGTAAATGATTATAAAGTTAGAATATCTTGCATTACCTACAGGTTAAGCACACAGAGGGAACAAATTCCAACACATGTTCTTAGCTGATACAAGTTAACACCAGAAGACCGGTAAAACCACTCCTATTCACAGACTATATACCCCACAGACCTGCTATCGCAACCACGGTCTACCACTGCTAATATTTCTAGTTAATTATTATTCGTTTTCCTTCCCAAGTTAATCTAGTACCCAGGGAAAAGAGGGTGTGGCCGCTGCGTGCGCCATAGCCGTAACTCTTGTCTATGACGCTTGGCTAGCTTTTTCTTTTTTTTTTTTTTCTTGTGAGTCCTGTACTCTCTTGCAGAGCACTGCGATTGGTAAAACTAAACGTTTGTCTGCCTAATTGCCCTTCTAATGCTGCAAGTCTACAGACTCTGATATATATATATATATATTTGTTGTTAAAAAGTTTTTAAACCGCGATAGTTGACTACTCTTTGGAAACTGTACAGTGGATGTCCTTAGATCAAAGCATGAAGACTGTTGCCGGAGTGTCCATATAAAAAAAAAAAAAAAATGATTTTTTCCCTAACCAACATGGCTGAACAAGGATTTGTTTATCTTCGGTTGCATTCACCATAAAGTGGTTACACATTTGTTATGACTATAGTATGCAACTACAGCTGTGAGGATGTAACGCGTATGTATTATTTTGTTAGTTGGCTGAAGTCTGCCTTTCACCGCTGGTTAAGTATACATCACATCTCAATATTACGATTGAAATAATGTTTTTGTAAATGCGTTATAGGAGTAACTTTGGGGTATTTTTGTTGTTATTTGCGTAAAGCTACTATTATACCTCGAATATTAAAACCATAAGTATATATTACATTCTATAGTGGTCTATAGAACACATTGAAGACATGCGAAAGAAATATGTAGCATGTGCCAGAAAATAAATAAAACTTATATATTAACCTAAGGCTGAACGCAATGGAGCCAATTGATGGTACGTTACAACAAATCGAGGAGGCAACTGGTGTAATGAAGGTTAGGTTTAATGTCATCTAATCAAAAACACCTTAGATGTGAAAAAAGGTGCGGCTAAAAAAAAGGATTCATTGTGCGAGTTCAAAGAATGAAATCAAAATTGGCGGCTAAACTGGTAGCTACACTTATAGCATTGATAAGAATTTTACAGCAAATATTCATTCATTAGTTCTAGGATCGCAACACTGTTATTCGGAACAAACCTTTATTTTACAGAAACAACCAGATTATTTAAAATATATAGGGATAGTTTTTCCTCTTTAAAACAGATTCTACACCGAATGCAATCGGTATAAACGCATTAAGCATCATTATTTATGTTAATTGCTTAAGCTAATATCACATGACGCTAAACGCTCTTTAATTAGGAGAATTTCACAAAATTTAGTAAATTTGTTCTGAGAAGTTAGCAATCAATAATAACCGTTCTTTTGCAAATATGAGATAGAAACTACTAATCTACTTTGCTTGGCCTAACCAATACTTATTTATCTGTACGTCCTTTCACCTTATAGTTTTTTTTTCTCTAAATCAGCCGTTTTTAATCCGAATAACAAGAAACTGAAAACTGTCCACTTTTACTCTTAGGTGAATCTGTAGTAAAAATATTAGACCGATAGCTTACGTGACTTTTTGCATAGGCGTTCGTAAAAATTTTCATCGGATTGGAGCGTTTTTGTTGAATAACTTTGCATATGTGGCTTATATTTACACCAGATGAGATACCTAATTGTAAGCTGTAAAGATCTATCAGTGTTAAAATAATGTTTTGATTGCAGAATTTTCCTTACAGTTGGTTTTAATTTCTTCAATATTATATATATATATATACTACTTCATAAATTTGATCTAAAAATATTTGCTTTGGGACGAATTTAAACTAAATATCTATAATATACACCAGAATTCAAATGCTACTTCCAGGTTTTAGTAATAAAATAATGCGAAAAGATGTAATTGGGTGAATATTGTCATCCATTAATACTACAGAAATAATAAAGATCAACATTATTATTGTAAATCGTGTAGCTGACTGAATCTTCAAAAATTTATAAAACGGACGTACACGTTAAAGAAGTCTGATTAACTCTGCTAATTTTCCAGTTTATTTACTGTGTACATTAATGGTATTGATTTGACTTGCATCTCACACTATGTTGAAAATGTTTTTATAATGCTCTAATCAAACAAATGAAAATATTCCTGCTCGTGAAAAGGTATCATATAAAAACATTTTTATTTATATGGCCAACATTAATTAGTAGCCTTAATTCTCTCGCCTGTTTACTTAACAAATTTTATTATATTTATTATATAGCTTTCAAACGTCATAATAAACTAAGATCCCAAGAGTTATCTCTCTCACCGCAATATTCATTAGGACAGAACAATGTAACAGAATGTGGCATTCATTACATTGATGAAACAATGAGACCAGGTAGGGTGAGAATGCCAGAAATAATGTAACATCACCAATTCAGCAGTTGCATTATATGCCAGAAAATAAAACCACTGAATACGGTGGTTATATACCAGAACAATATGTTAAAACTCATATAAAGGAAAAAGAAAATATTTTTGTAGCAGAGCTTGGTTACTGTTGCTGAAAACCGTATACGATATATGAAGTTACCACTAACTAACCATTCCAGTCCTTTTTAGGATTACATACATCTGAAGACGCCAGCAAATTAACAACCGAAATATGGTGTTTCAGTTAGTTAAACGTTATATATTACTAACTAACTTTTCAGGCTTTTAATGTGAGTACTCATATTTGTATTAAGCCATTTTTTTTAGTTTTTGTTGTTTTTTCTAATACACAAGTTTCAGCTCAATTCCCCAAGCCTTCTACAGGTGCGAGACGTTTAGTAAACAACAGGATTTAACGGAACAATTCGAATCACAAGTTGCCTAGCAACCAATCAAGGGTTACCATTTATTCTTTCACTTTTTTCTTTGTTTTATCCTTGACAAGTATTGCGTCTGTGTATTGTCATTCGTTAGTTTTATTTACCTTATCTATATTTTGGCCATTTTAAACAATATTTCGCATAAGTGCCCTATTCAACTACTGTTATATTTTTAGTAATTTGTCTTCAACTTGTTTGATGTAACTACCTCTTTACATATGAAAATAATACATTTTGAATCAATACTTTACAGAAGTAGACAGCGTACAGAAATACGTTTTGTTTCTTTGTTTGTGTTTTGGAACGAAAACGAAAGGATTTTCCTAATCTCTCTCAAATTTGTCCATCCAGCATTACCGTTAAAAAAGATTAGAAAAATTGGTCTAATTGGTTTGGTTATTAAGCATGATTTACGTTTACTTTTGTTATATGATTATATGTTATGGTTTGGTCTGTATAACATGTTTTGCATATAGCTTATTCTGTTTGTCTGGTCTCTATATATGATGATGATGTATTAAAATAACTTGGTTAACATAATTAGCGAAAATAATTTTTCCTTCTATGTTTGAGGTATTTTTAGACTGGTTAAATTGGTCAATTTGCATATCGTTATAAGTGTATGTACTTTTAGTTCGATCTTTCTGTTACACGTCCTGTTATGCATAATATTGCCTGTTCCACAGATAGTTTATATATTTGACAAGGCTGAAATATAACTTTTTAGTTATTGAATATTTAGCATATAGCATGAATACACGTCCTTCCTTATAAACATGGTTTTATTACGTGACCTAGTATACATATTACACTGTAGTGAATGGACTACAAAAAAAAAGCATTGGCTATAAGATCTATTATATGACATGGCCCATGAGTAGTTTGGTTATAACATCAGGTCTGCCTCTAGTCAGATAGTATGATCTGGTAAACACATGGTTTACGTATGTGATAAAAATTAAGCAAACGAAATCAAACTAAACTGACTCGGAAATAATAAAATACAGGATAAACAAAATATTAATCTAGATCGAAATTAAATAAAAAACAAACCAAAACACAGAGAAGCATACCTATATGTACAATATTTACAATGTATTTCTAGAAGCAATTGAGGTCTTACATTTTTGCTCCTTCTCAGTGTTGATGTTGTGAAAGGCCTTTCAATGTTCCTCATTAAAAACACTACCTTCCCCACTGAAAGCACTGGATCTCTTTCATTGGTGATTTTTCTTAATGATGCAATTTTCTTTTGTATTTATACATCCCTTGTGGTGATCCCTATTTTATTGAAAAATAGTCCATATGTCTGTCCATTTTGCTCCTTAAGCTTGGACTGGAAATATAGGTTTCCAACATTCAAAAGTGCAATGGTTAAAAATAGTGAGCACAACCTTTATGGTTGTCAATAGGAAGGCATCAGATTAGATAGCTGCTAGCAGATCTAGATGCCATCTTTTCCCCACTCTTCTTAGGACACAAGATAGTGTTTGTTCATCCTTTCATAGGGCAAAAAAGTCACTTCCCATCCACTCATTTCCTTGATGGGTGGAAGTTTCTATGATGGTTTTCAAGACTGGAGCTTGTGTTTATCCTTGGCGATTATCTGTCGTTGTTTAGACACGAGGAGCATATCTTCAATCGGCATAGTTTTTATCTACTTAATCGAAGCTCCTAACTTCAATGAATAGTCTGGCGAGTTTGCTAGGCCATTCTACAGAATCACAGTGCCCTCCGTGTTGAATTGCTATTGACTCAGGGTCACTATATTGGCTTAGGATTATAAAACCGATAGCCAGTGGTCAAATATCATCGCAAGAGACAATATAAAAACTTCAATTCATTTCAACTTGCCTTAGAAGTTCAGTAAGTAATATAAGGTTAAATATCATAATCAGTCATGATTTTATCTGACTTTATTTTTCAAAAAAAGTCATCTGGACAGGATGTAACATATGTGCTACACCTCATAGTATTAGTGGTGAATGCACTCAACCCATTACTACAAAAACTGTTCTAAAAAACTGAAAACTGGATGGAACAGTGCACTTACAACTTTGTTAGCCAGATCCCTAAATGTGCCCCTTCTGGTAATAGACTTACTGCTCAGAAAGTATAGTCATATACCAATGTGTTTTTTTACCACTACATGATCACATAAAAAACAGTACAGTGGTTCCAAGGGGAAAGTGGGGAGGGGAGGGATTACAAGCCAGTACCTTACATGGGTAACAAAAATTAAGCCAATTACTTTACAAGCTGTACCTAATGCTTTACCCAAGAAAATGTTATAATTATCTGTTCATAGGT